GAAAGGTGTGATGTATTTTTTCAATTGGAAATAAAGTGTGATCTACAATATCATGTAATAATAAAAAATGCTTAACTACTTTCTAACAAAATACTTTTCCTTAGCAGCTGGAGGATATAAAGTAATAAAAATACTCTACAAGATTGTGCTTAATATAATTTAACATTGATTCCCGAAATCAAATTCAAAATTTCCCACTAATAGACGTGGATATTCAAAGGGTATTGTAATTCACGAAGTTACCTGTACTTGTAGCATTTGCGGTGTTGCTAGATTGACAAATCATAAAATATGCTCCAGATAGTATATCTTACAGTTCAGTGAAAACAGAGATGTGAAAATAACGAAACCTTTATTCATCAGGCAGATATATTTATCCGGAAGATAACTATCCGCGAGTATGAAAAAATCGAGCATTATATAACCGAAGATGTTTACACGCAGTTTTAATCCGACGCAGGCCATTTAAACTCCGGTTAATATGAATCGTGTAACCGGGCCTATTTCTGTAAGCACTGTGGGAATTCCCCATTTTAGTCTTGCTTAACAATCTCTCTTGATAGCCGGATTTTGGGCCGTGGACAATCATTCTTTGTCGCCACGTCGGAAAGAGTGTTACAGAGAAANATCGCATGCGGCGGACTTTACATTATATATAAGACTTTGGATCAGACAATTTGTTAAGGCCAATGAGGCTATCGTTTTGCTTTTCTTAACCTTAAAATACTTTATACGGCTTGCGAATTCCTATTTTATGATATAGTTTCAACAGTTACATACATATATTCTATATCGTTATATTTTGATAGTAGTCAGTTGTTCTCGTTTAAGATAATAATCGTAAACGGTTGTAGAGTTAAGTTTTGCAAGAGATAAGATTGAATTTATGTCAAAGTTTGTAATGTTATGAGTTACGAATGCGAGTGCTGCAGAAAGAAAGGTGTGATGTATTTTTTCAATTGGAAATAAAGTGTGATCTACAATATCATGTAATAATAAAAAATGCTTAACTACTTTCTAACAAAATACTTTTCCTTAGCAGCTGGAGGATATAAAGTAATAAAAATACTCTACAAGATTGTGCTTAATATAATTTAACATTGATTCCCGAAATCAAATTCAAAATTTCCCACTAATAGACGTGGATATTCAAAGGGTATTGTAATTCACGAAGTTACCTGTACTTGTAGCATTTGCGGTGTTGCTAGATTGACAAATCATAAAATATGCTCCAGATAGTATATCTTACAGTTCAGTGAAAACAGAGATGTGAAAATAACGAAACCTTTATTCATCAGGCAGATATATTTATCCGGAAGATAACTATCCGCGAGTATGAAAAAATCGAGCATTATATAACCGAAGATGTTTACACGCAGTTTTAATCCGACGCAGGCCATTTAAACTCCGGTTAATATGAATCGTGTAACCGGGCCCATTTCTGTAAGCACTGTGGGAATTCCCCATTTTAGTCTTGCTTAACAATCTCTCTTGATAGCCGGATTTTGGGCCGTGGACAATCATTCTTTGTCGCCACGTCGGAAAGAGTGTTACAGAGAAAATTGCGTAGTAGATGCAGAGTACCCGACAGTAATTAAAAGTAGTGTTCCGAAGTATCTATAGTGTTTGGTTTAGTTTTTTAGGCGAGATGGATCTTATTTTCCATACTCTTAACAGAAAACTGTTTGAAGCCAATCGGCACAAAGAGCTTAACGCGAAATTCAAGACGTTTACCGACGAAGAACGGGTAACGTTTATATTTAATCTTCTTGAAGAATTTGGCATCCAGCCAGAGTCAACAAACATCCAGAAAGATGCAGAGGCATCTAATTTCTTCAGAGAAATGGGCAATAGAACATATATCATGAGTTCTATCAGTGGGTCGCAACTTGATCTGGCGTGGAAGGCATATTCGAAGAGCATTGCTCGTGCTCCTCTTAGATCGAAGGAGCTTGCCCTGGCTTATGGGAACAGATCGGCAGTTCTGTTTCGATTCAAGAAGTATAAGGAATGTGTACGAGATATCGAAAGAGCTTTGAATCTCGATTACCCTAGCCATATGAAGTCAATATTATTATTACGCAAGCAAGTTTGTCTTAGGAATCTCCAAGAGCCAGATTATGAGGAGACGTTTGAGGAAGCCCATGGATCGATGAAGAAAATGTCTTTGACAGAATGTTCAGATTCAGTTCGAATGAACAGGTCTGATACGGTACAGGGACGAGTGAAAGGAAAGGAATACCATCTTCCAAAGATTGCCGCGTGCAATTCCGAAGTGCCTTTTGCCTCCGATGCCGTAGCAGTCAAGTATAACGACATTTTCGGGAGACATCTTGTAGCTGCTCGAGACATAAAACCCGGGGAAACGCTTGCTGTTGAAAAACCTTATGCTTTGATGTTGAACACGGAAAAAATGTACACACATTGTGCCCAATGTTTAAACGTTGCTTGGGATGGCATTCCATGCGACCATTGTGTTTACGTGATGTTTTGTTCCGAGGAGTGCAAGGAGGAAGCCTGGAATGAGTTTCACGATGTCGAATGCCCAGTAATTAGCTGTTTGCTGCAACTAGACATAGATATGTTTAGCTTGCTAAGTATGAGGCTTGCTATTATTACCATGAAGAAAGCAGGCAGTTCAGAGGCATTACGGAAAGAATTACAGATTGTCGACAATTGGAAAGGTGCTAAAAAATTAAATTATGACTTGTAAATTGTATCTGACATGTATAAAGAACCAGATTCTAATAATTGAATTATTTATTTTGTTGATTTAGATCCTCGAACAAGAGGGTACCAGAATGATGGAAAGTTTAACAGCGAAGATTATCGTGCAGTATACAGTTTAATGACTATGACTGACAAGACATCTGTGTCAGTTCTCTTCAGGATGGCATTAGATGCAACATACATTCTCTTCTTTTTGGCCACGAGGTCTAAATTGTTCGGAAAGAAGCTCAAAGCGAACCTTCCAGCTCTTGTAAAGAACTCGGAGTTGACCCTTGTCGGCGGAATGATGTTGCGTCATCAGCAAATAATTCAGATCAATATGCTTAGGGTACACGGAATTCTAAATTAATTTTAATATTAATATATAATTTATAACCGTTATATTGTAGATATTTGCTTGTATTCATTTAATTATTTTTTTTTATCAGTTTTGTGAACAACGAGACTTTGAAACTACTGTGCGTGGTGTAGCTATCGCACCATTTCTCAGCTTTTCTAATCATAGTTGTAATCCCAATATTGTTGATCAGTCCATAAAGGAGCATCTGGTTCTATATGCTATTCAACCTATTAGGAAAGGTGAACAGGTTAGCAGTGATGATGCAATATACGTACACATTATGACGTAATGGAATTTATTTTTGATGTATAATTAAGATTGCCTCTGCTCATAATGTAATTCAAAATTTCAGTTATTTAGTACCTATACAGCTTGCTTCTTTACTATGGGAAAGGATGCTAGACAGAAGAGATTGAAATATCGGTATTACTTTGATTGCCATTGTCGACCATGCGAAGAGAATTGGCCTACGTATATTGGATTGCCATCGTTTACGGTAAGTCATAGAAACATTATAAAAGATACTCGATCCATCTGTTACTAAATTGATAACGGGTCTAGTCTTCTATATGCAGTTTTCAAGCATGAATTATTTAACAGTTTTCAATGTTTAATNTTATTCGATGGAGATGTATGGATCAGCGATAAATAGTTAAGGTGCAGTGAAATACAAATTTAATAGGTTAAAAAGATCCTTTTAAATACCTCCGTTACCTACATTCGTTTTTATATTGACAGCACTGTCGAACTATAATGGCTATTGTTAAATTTCACGAGCACCACGTTCTTCCTTGGGGCCTCCGTAATCACATACTAAAGTTTTCAATAATTTAGCACATCCGGTTTAGGGAATCGTTTTATAAATATTTTGGAGTGCTCATATATAGAATGATCCTTTCATACCCAGACAGCACAAACACATAGCACAGAGGTTCATAGAATATTTTTTGAAAATATTTCAATATTAATAGGATATGTATTTATGTACTATGTACATTTTTTGAACGTAGGATGAATATAGTTTTGGTCAGTTTTTTATATTCGAAATATATTTAATGAAATATTATATAAACATGGAATCGATACTTCTTACACATAAGGAAACACATGTCATATACATATCTGAATGATATTCTTTGCCACGCAATTAAAAATACAAAAGGTTCTTGTTTCGGTATACTATTTTTAAATTGGTGTCAACATTTGGTGAAATCATATATTGAAACATTGAAACGTAAGCACCTACTTTTACTAAAAATAAATTACTTACCCGGGGAATGTAAATTTAAAGTATTGGTGCACGTATGTGTATTCAAAATAAAGTAACAGTATATTACATAATCTAATATTGTACTTAAAATATCATTTCAATGTCGATTATACATGAGGAATATTATCCAACTTCTTTTCTATATTCTATAAATATTTAATACTGTCTGGGCCTTAATTGTTTTACAATCCGTATTTTCATAACCAATGCTCACTTATTTTCTTGATTACAGCACTGGGTCACTTGTCCACAGGAGGTAAAGAAAATCAAGAAAGTTCTCAGAGACTTCGGTAGATACCAGGACCTGGTAATATTTAGGAATGTTGAGACCGAACCGAATATGCTGAAGAACATGTACAAGATGGTCGAAGTCTTGTCCACAAGCGTGCCTATGCCGTGTATAGAACTTGTCGTCGTCATTCAAGCAATAGTGCGAGCCAAAGAATTACAAGGGAACAGATTTGACATGCCAAAAACTTAAAGATTTCACCTTGAGTGATTCGTACATGCCCACCAAGCACTACGTTATAGCTATGTAACACTGGAACAACATGGTATATAACAAATGTTATTCAAAAGATATATTCATATCATATAACGTCAAATTATTTCCATATGGTAACATTGTTACAAACTTATTAGCATTGCGCTTATGTAATATTAATATAACCTATAACATGTTACCGATATGTTATGTGTCCGTCACATTATTCATTTTATAACGGTGTTATACAGCTGCGTATGAAATAGCAATACAAATCATGTTTATGCATTATATGTCTGTTACGTTACATGTTACAAACATTATGTACCTGTTATATTATTGTTACGTAACAGTGTTTGGTGGGTCGATTGAGAAATCCATTCGTAACTACTTTTGGAATGACTAAACCAAGTATTTTAACCGTACGAATCGTACAAAATGTTTTTAGGGGAACGGAACGGTATTTTATTATTAGCACTAGTATTTTACTATTACTTTTACCATTCTCTTCATGAGGGAAAATTATTTAAGGTTATGTGAAAATGGCATCGGTGGAGTCAATCGTTTATGAAATTTTTCTTCAAACTGGGTGCATTGAATCGTTTCAAACTTTACGACATGAATGTGGAGGCTATAAGGAGGGTCCTGACACTCGTGAAATTTCATTTTTTATCCAAAATTTTGAAAATATCTGTGAATCAATTTAAAAAATTGAAATTTCATAAGTTTCAGGGCCTTCCTTATATTCTCCATGTTTATATTATAAAGTTTGAATCGATTCGGTACACCCAGTTTGGAAAAAAGTTATATGAACGAGATCTCTTCGATGCCAGTTTCGCATCACTTTAAGCAAACTATTCAGGAAGAAAACAAGTATTACATGCGGCGGACTTTACATTATATATAAGACTTTGGATCAGACAATTTGTTAAGGCCAAAGAGGCTATCGTTTTGCTTTTCTTAACCTTGAAATACTTTATACGGCTTGCGAATTCCTATTTTATGATATAGTTTTAACAGTTCCATACATATATTCTATATCGTTATATTTAGATAGTAGTCAGTTGTTTTCATTTAAGATAAAGATCGTAAACTGTTGTAGAGTTAAGTTTTGCAAGAGATAAGATTGAATTTATGTTAAAGTTTATAATGTTATGAGTTACGAAAGCGAGTGCTGTAGATTGAAAGGTGTGATGTATTTTTTCAATTGGAAATAAAGTGCGATCTGCTCTTATTTCGTGTATGACATTTTCGTTTATTTGTATTCAGAATGCTTTTTTTTTTTACCGTTCTGATCGCTAATGGGTGCATTCAGAGGGAAAAGTGGTTACCGATGAGTTGGGAACATGTTGCGATTTTTTGCTGAAAATGGCGATCAGAATGGTCTGATCAATAAACACGTTGAGTAAACGTACCCATTCAGCAGATGAGCGCTAACCGATCTCTCAACAGTTGTCTCCTCTGAATGTACCCATTTTCAGCAGAAAATCGCAACATGTTCCCAACTCATCGGTAACCGCTTTTCCCTCTGAATGCACCCAATGTGGGATTTACAAGGTATATATCTTTATTTGCAATATTACCAGACCGGAAGTGCTAGTCATCTCGTTCTTTCATATAGCGAACACGTAATTCGGCGAATAAACCCACGCAAGATGAAAGTGCGAGAAGTGAGCGCGCTCGTCAAAAATACGTAATAAACCTGCCTATAATCGACACCTCAATTTTCGGTTTACAAGGTGTATACCTTTATTTGAATATTACTAGACCGGAAGTGTTAGTAATCTCGTTCTTTCATATAGCGAATACGTAATTCGTCGAAAAACCCACGTGACACGAAAGTGCGAGAAGTGAACGCGCTCGTCAAAAATACGTAATAAACCTGCCTATAACCCACACCTCACAATTTTCGGTTTACAAAGTATATACCTGTATTTGAATATTAATAGACCGGAAATGTTAGTAATCTCGTTCTTTCTATAGCGAATACGTAATTCGTCGAAAAACCCACGTGGCATGAAAGTGCGAGAAGTGAGCGCGCTCATCAAAAATACGTAATAAATCTGCTTATAACCTACACCTCTCACAATTTTCGGTTTGCTAGGTATATACCTTTATTTTCACTATTACTATACCGGAAGTGTTAGTAATCTCGTTCTTTCATATAGCGAATACGTAATTCGTCGAAAAACCCATGCGAGATGAAAGTGCGAGAAGTGAGCGCTCTCGTGAAAAATACGTAATAAACGCCCTCCCCTATTTACGATACCGAGGATATTCGAACTCCTACGCACGGACGCCGGTGGACGCCGGTGAATGAGGCTGACATCCGGGCAGGAGCCGAGCGGATCCCGGGCGCGTGGGCGTCGCGGCGCCGGGGCGTCGGGGCGCCGGGAGGGGCGATCGATCCTCTCGGGGGTCGTCGCGCGCCCTCTCCACATTTCCCGGATCTCCCGAGCGGAGAGGTAGCGAAGAACCGCGACGCGTCTTCGAGGAGAGCCTTCGCGGACGCGGACGAACGTGAGTACTCGAGGGCGACTGCCGAGCAGCCCTCTGGGGCGTGTTAGGTCGGGGATCGTTTACTCGGGAGCGGTGATAGCGATTACCCGAGGATGTCGATCGGACCGTGCCTCGTGGGTTTGTTCTTGGGGACTCGCTTCCAGATGGTTGAAACCAGCCAAAGACCTCGTCGAGCAAAGTAACGAAGATACTTTATTTTCGGTGCCTCTCGGTTTTACAGGAACGACTCGTAGACTCGGTCAACTCAAGGGGACTAGCGTTCGCCGAGAGTTACAGGTGCCTCGCGCGCAGGTTACAGAATGGAGACAGTTCAAACTTCGGTAGATCAGAGAACGAGCCCTTCGGAGCGGGCCTTTTTATACTGACCTAGGATGTTCCTAGGCGCGGAGGAGGATGCTTATTGGTGGGTTTTTAAGATCGAGGAGGGAAATGTCTCATGTGATTGGCTTGGGGACAGGTCGAAGGGGAAACAGGTGGAAAGTGTCTTTTTCCAGAGAATCTGAATGTTTGACGTTTCCCAGGGCTGTCATCTAGTTTGGGGTGCGGAAGTACTCGGATAAACAAAGGGGAGATAAGACGAGGGAGAGCATGTCTCCAGGAGCGTTTTGGAGCGCGAGACGCGTTGCTTAGTCTCTTTCTTAATATTACTTAAAATAAAATGTTAGGTAGGGACCTAACAGGCGCCGAGGAGTAACCAAACCTTCTGTCCAGATGCCGTCGGAACCGCTGCGCCTGCTGCTCCTGGGGAGCCTGGCCGCCCTCTGCGTGGGACTCTCGCCCAGTCCTCCGCAGGACGCCTCCAAGACGGGCAGCTCCAGAGGTGAGTCAAGCCGGACAACAATTTCCTTCGTTTAAGGTGAAGTGAAACCCCCTTCAAATCAGTCGATTCGAATACAACACTTTTTTTTAAGGGTCTAATACCCATCAAACTGTCCGAAACTTTGACACATCACTTCTGATCGTCTAAGAATTGTCCTGACACATTCAAAATTTGGGTTTTTGACAAACATTTTATAACTTAGCCCAGACCAGAACCAAAATGGCGTCGAGCTCTCATATTTCGATCGATATACAATTATCGAAAGCTCTGATATGAGAAACGAAAGGGTCCGGACAATTTTACGACAATTTAGAACACTCTGGTAATCGATAAACTCGCATTTAAACGGGATAAAGGCAAAAAAAGTGTTGTATGCGCTTCTATGCTGAAACGATGGTAATACGAGGTCTCGGAGTGACAATTTAATTGATCTGGAAATCACAGATGGCGCAGGGGGTCCTTCTGCAGTTAATTGGGGCCCCAGAAAGATGAATCCAGAGGATTTCTGGAGTTTTACTTCGATTTCTTGACATTTATTGTACGAAAATGAGTATGCTATTTGGTACAATACCCAATATAATTCGACACAGCTGTCGATATAAAAACGAACGTCAGCAATGTAGGCATTTAGAAAAATCTTCTTTATCGACGTCGATCAAGTTCCTCGACGTGTTTCACTTCACCTTAAGGTGAAATTTCATTTTTCGAATAAAAGTGTATATTTATCTCGGACAAGAACCACAAAAAAGTCCCTTTTTTTTTCGAAAAAAGGAATTTCACGAACGTCGGGTTATTCCTTAGGGCCTTCGTAATCACATGCCAAAGTTTGAAATTATTTGGTACACCCAATTAGCAGAAAAGTTTTATAAATATTTTCACGGTTTATGTATATTGCATGACCCTGGTGTCGTATCCTACACATTATGTAACATAATGTTCCATAATGTGTAGGATATGACACCAGGGTAATTATGTTCCATAATGTGTTTGGTAAGCGTCCATAGGCTCAATTCGTCCCGGTTTCCGATAACAAATCTTGGCTACTTGCAGGGACCCTCGACTCCTCGGGCTTGGGAGACTCGGTCGCAGTGTTCGGCGAGTCTGGCCTCGGCCCCGGAACGCCGTCCTCGAGGGATGCGTCCCACCAGTGAGTACCACGACTCGCCACCCAGCCACTTCGGCGACGCACTCGACTCCATCCGTTTCAGACACGCCGAAGGCGGTCGACCGAAGTCATTGAAACAGGACCTCGCACTAACTGGCCACCGAGTCCCCGTCAACGAGGTGACTGGCCCGACTTCGGGCTATCCGCGCTCGTTCTCGTCGCGGCCATCACCTCGCCCGACGCCTCGCCCCACGTCGCAGTCCCTGGGCCAACCGGAGAGAAGGTGGGTCTTTGCGCCATGATATGGCACGACATGACGTGACACGACGCGTCGGACCATGATACGGCACGACACGACGCGACACGTCGCGCCATGATACGACATAACATGATACAACACGTCACACCATGATATGGCACGATATGACATGTCGCGCCATGATACAACACAACATGACACGACACGTTGCGCCAAAATACAGCACGACGCGACACGTCGCGCCGTGATACGACATAACATGATACAACACGTCACACCATGATATGGCATGATATGACATGTCGCGCCATGATACGATACGACGTGGCACGACACGTTGCGCCAAAATACAGCACGACGTAACACGTCTCGCCAGGATACGACACGGCACGATATGACACGACTCGTCGCGCCATGAAACGATACGACATGGCACGACACGTTGCGCCATGATACGGCACGATACGACACGTCGCACCGTGGTACGGCAGGAAACGACACGACGTGACACCACTCGTCGCGTCATGATACGATACAACATGACACGTCATACCATAATACGGCACAACATGACAGTGTATGAGGTATGGGCTTTCGCCTGCCGTGCCTAGGACCGATGGTCCTCTACCGGCCTCCCCATCGCTGGGGAGTTAGAATAGCCCCATCCGCCTCCAGCGCCTCCACCATCAAGGGGGCCCGAAGGCCCCCACAGCTAGAAAAATTCAGATACCTCAGAACCTCCCAGGTCCTCGAAAACGTAAGAATGACAATTTTCAAGAATTTTTTTCCATAGTTTAGATTCCTCGGAATGGATTACATTAGTTTGTACAAGTAAACCGAGGGGAGTACTCAAGCTGAGAATTTTTTGGAACCGATGGAGTAGGCCTTGACAGTTAGAAAAATTCAGAGCCCCCAAGAACCGCCCAGGTCCTCGAAAACGTTAGAATGACCATATTCAAGAATTTTTTTCCATAGCTTAAAATGCTCGGAATGGGTTGCATTACTTTGTACAAGTAAACCGAGGGGAGTACTTATGCTGAGAATTTTTTGGGTCCGCTGGGGTTGAGCTTGATAGCTAGAAAAATTCAGCCACCCCAGAACCTCCCAGGTCCTCAAAAACGTTAGAATGACAATTTTGGGCTGGAAAAACCCCGAATGCTCCGGACCGCTCGTTCAAACCCTGGGGAGGCGCTGGCCGAGCCGGGGCCTCCGCGACGCACTCCCCGAAGGGAGGCCGCTTGACCCCGCCCGTTGCCCGCGGGGAACCCCGTGGAGGTCCCTCCCCTGCACCCGCGTGGTGCGAGCATTCGTGCAAGGCGCCAGCTGAGACGTAATGCTCCAGTGTGGTTTGGTGAGCTTTCCCGGCTAGGTCGGGCGGGAACCCGTTCCATCGGCCGAGTTGACCCAGCAAATATAGGATCGGTTATCCCATCTATCGGCCCGTACTAGCTCGCCGGCCTTCTTTTTACGACCGGTGGGGCCGGCCCCCAACCCGCACCCGGAAAACCGGGACACGGGACGGGATACCCGTCGCACCCCAGCCGTCCGGTCGAGGGGTATTCCCACAATGGGAGCCACCTGTCGCCGGTAACTCTAGGGGGAACGAGAGTGCGATCAAACTCCGCAGAGCGAGCATCTCTCATGGTTCCCCAGTAGCCATTTGCCGTTTCGTTACAGATCCACAGGGATCCGCATGCACCTCCACCACGAGGAGGTTTATGGATGGCCCTTGGAACGCGTGGGTGGTCAGCCCACGTCGTTGCCTTTTGGAGGCCACGAAATGACAGGATACGTCGCACTGTGATACGGCACGACATAACATGATACGTCGCGCCATGATAAGACACGACATAACTTACACGACACGTCGCGCCATGATAAGACACGACATAACTTACACGACACGTCGCGCCATGATATGGTTTGACACGACACGACACGTCGCGCCATGATATGGCTCAACACGACACGACACGCGGGTCCAATGAATTCTTACCGTAAATCGGGCGAGTCGTTCTAAAAAGAGTGAAATGGCAACAACTTAGAATTAGAAAAGTCCCTTTTATACAGGTGTAATGGATCCACAAGCAATGAGCGGACGAAAATGAGTTTAGAGTCTTTTATTTCTGCTTCTGTCCTTACCAGTCGGAGTCTGGTGAAAAATCTGTCTGTCTTTTTGGAGTTGAACAATTGTTGTTGCTTCGCAGAGAGGAATAATGAAGTGAGAGCAGAGTATGAAGAGTTAATAGGAGCGTTGGGGAAATCTATAATAAAAGAGGGAAAAGACAGGAAGTTTTGGCTGGTGATCTGTTGAGGAAATACAAGATTTCGAGTTCCTAGGAAAAGAACCGGATTATTGGTTCGATCGAAGATCTCTTGGATGGCGCCATGGACTTTAGAAATTTGGACAAGAAATCAGTTTTAGCTAACAGCGCAAAACCGGAAGACCGTGATAACGGCCTAACAGCGGGATTTTAGGCGCGTCATCCAACAGCTTAAATGAAACAATTCTTAGTAATGAAATATACGGCGGATATTACACAGGTCCTCGAAATATAGATTAATGAGATGGTTATTCCATAACGCCAACGTTTCAGCTTGCCGACTTATCCAGAGCCACGATACAAACGCCAGCTCGACTTGGAACCCCAAGACGTCCTAGCGTTGCTTTCGATGTGGGAAAACAAACGACGTAACAGGTAATCACATTTCCACCCATAAAACTTCATTCTTTTATAAATATATTTAAAAAGAAATGAAATATCATGGATCTCGGGAGTGTCTTTAAAAGCTCCATGTTCGCGTGATAAACTTGCAAATGATTCGGTCCATCCAGTTCGGAAAAAAGTTTAAAAAACTATTGACCCCTCAAATGCCTCTCACATAACCTTAAAAGATCTTAAAGGACACTCCTTAATGGTTTCTTTTTCCTTCCTTCGAGAAACTGGCCCGGACATCACTCGGACGAGTACGACGACGGCGATGACGACGACCAGGATCAAGAGAACTTGATCGCGGACGACGATGACGGGGTTGATCCAAGAAATGGTAATTGAACGTCTACTATCAAGGTGGAATCATTTTCCATTGACCAGGGTTGAGTAATTTGGCGTTTTTCGACGTTTTTAACGTATATTACGCAACGTATAATACGTCCCTTGTTTTCTATGCGAGCGCAAAGTACATTACACCCTTCTCTTTTTAAATAGAAAATGACAAATCCAATTAGAAATTTGATATTGAACAGAGTTAAGTCAAAAGAATTTAAACACAAACCCGAAATGAATTATTTCTTAACAATTTTCACGTGTTTATATGTGCGCTAAAAGTCGTTAACCTCGCGAATACATATACCATGCATCTGTGGAATCCGCCATATTGAAAACGTAAAATTCTAAAGAATTTTGAATACAAGCGCCAAATTAATTAATTGTTCCTTAAAATATCTCAGTGTTTACATGCGTGCTAAAAGACGTTTATAACCTAGCAGATGCCGTATACCGTCCATCTGCAGCATTCTGCATATTGAAAACGTAATTTACTGGTTTTCTACGTTTTCCTGTAGTAAAATAATTTGTCACGTAATATATGTGGAAAACCTCGAAGAATGGGGAATTACCCAACCTTGTTCCTGGTCTGTAGTCTCCATGTTATGAACCCTGAAATATTTACATTCTGTGACCTTGAATGTATTTTTTTTCCCTTTCAGGAGGTAGTACTTGGTTGGAGGGTCCGATTTATCCTCGACGGCAGTTCAGCGCAGGCTTGGATGCCGTGGCACCGTCTGATGTTGGGGTTCCCCGAACTCATCCTCCGAATTACTACGAAGAGTATGGTAACCGATACGACCGATTATTCGAAAATGGCCGACACGAGCCGCCTCCTCGTTACGAACCGACCGATGTTTACAACCGACGCTTCAATGGCTACTACGCTCCTCAAAAACGTTTCGGGTTCTTGCGCAAACGGTCTCAGGTATCGTAAACGTTTATTCCATATCTCCAGTCGCCATTTTTTTTCTGCCTTACCGGCGTTCACCACCAAAGTGGGGACGATGACTTCCACCGCTAGATGGCGTTAGCATCGAATTCGGTGGGAGGTAACCAAAACGTATCGAAGATGAAATGTTGACCTGTGTTTATATGGGAGCGATTTTCGATCGAGCACCTCCTTCCTAGTTAAAAAGGCATTGAAATTATGTAGGATCGGAGGATTTTTTAGCCAAGATGAGTAGTATGTGAGGATTCTCGCTGCCCGAGTCCGCCGCGGCTGCTCTCTCGAGAAGCCTAGGGGGGCGAAAGGGGGACGCGGAATGCGAAACGATGGAATGCGAAAACCATTTTTTGGAAGACAGTCGAACTCGGACGCGCTCAGAAAACGGATCGACTAATTGACCAACGCGATCCTTTTTCAAATGTATACCCGCATATTTTCTTACATAGGAGATGTATCTAAATAAAGTACAAACCTACAATTATGTCGTTGCACTTTTTTATATGACAATGACCACTTATCGAAAATCGCTCCCATATAAACACAGGTCTACGTTTCATCTTTAATATGAGCACTCGTTGAGCTCGATCGGTTTAGAAATACGCTCAAAATAGTTGTTCCCGTGAGACCCTGCAAAATCATTGAAGTGGTGAGCGCTCTTAACGGCGCTCACCACCAAAGTGGGGACGATGACTTCCACCACTAGATGGCGTTAGCATCGAATTCGGTGGGAGGTAACCAAAACGTACTTTCTCNTCCGGCACGTCGGCTAACAGTTGGATCGTTCATTATTCGAGCTACAGTTCCAGAGTGCACGACATCGCGTAGCGTCATCGATATCTTGGAAATATTTCAGAATCGATAGGGTATGTTGTACGAATGTTATACCGCATGTTATATTGTAGAGCGCGGCACGGCAACCGAAAATTAAATCGTAGCGCAAGTGGTTAATTTGCTTTTGGAACTTGCCCGCCGCCCTCGAAAAAGACGTCTACACGTGTCTGGTACACAAGACAGTAGAGTGGAACACACGGTGGGGGTTACAACACGCGCCAGGAAATAGGATTGCTTCCTATTCCCTCGACTCGCATTGGCACTTTGGCGACTACTCCACTCCAGGACTGGAATGGCAGTTTACGTAAGACGAGTAATACTCGGTTTTAGTGACTCGTTTTAGTTATTGGTACCGTGTACGTTTGCCTTAAGGTGAAGTGAAACACGTCGAGGAACTTCATCAACGTCGCTAAAGAAGATTTTTCTAAATGCCTACGTTGCCGACGTTGGTTTTTATGTCGACAGCTGGGTCGAATTATATTGTGTATTGTACCAAATGGCATATTCCACCTGTCGTTTTCGTACAATAATTATAAAGAAATCGAAGAAAAACTCCAGAAATCCTCTGGATTCGTCCTTTCTGGGGCCCTAATTGACTGCGGGGGGACCCCCTGCGCCATCTGCGATTTCCAGGTCAATTAAATTTGCACTCCGAGACCTCGTATTACCATCGTTTTAGTAAAGAAGCGCATACAATACTTTTTTTGCCTTTATTCCGTTCAAATGTAAGTTTATAGATTACCAGAGTGTTCTAAATTGTCGTGAAATTGTCCTGACCCTTTCGTTTCTCATATCAGAGCCTTCGATAATTGTATATTGATCGAAATATGAGAGCTCAACGCCATTTTGGTTTTGGTCTGGGCTGAGTTAACAAATTTTTTCCAAAAATCCAAATTTTGAATGTGTCAGGACAATTCTTAGATGATCAGGAGTGATGTGTCAAAGTTTAGAACAGTTTGGTCTAATACCATTAAAAAAAAGTGTTGTATTCGAATCGACTGATTTGAAGGGGGTTTCACTTCACCTTAAGAAACTCTGATACTGGACTCAACCCCGAGTCGAATCCAATTACAAACAAACAAAGGGTTACCGTTCACATGGCGATGTGGACCGAACGAGGATATCTCGTCCTTATGCAATCGCTTGACTAGTAGGGAAGACCAAGGTTAATTGTAACAATTTTTACATTTTTAATTCCGTAATCGACAGTATCGGATTTTCATGATCGGAACTGGGTACACTTATCCACCGAATCTTCCACTAAAAGTTGATTTAGATTTTATCCGAGTTTTATCAGGAAATCGTGCATTTTAAGGTGAAGCGAAACACGTCGAGGAATTTGGTCGACGTCGATAAAGAAGATTTTCCTAAATGCCTACGTTGCCGACGTTCGTTTTTATATTGACAGCTGGGGCGAATTATATTGTGTATTGTACCAAATGGCATATTCCACCTGTGTGTTTCGTACAATAATCATAAAGAAATCAAAGTAAAACTCCAGAAATCCTCTGGGTTCGTGCTTTTTGGGGCCCTAATTGACTGCAGAGGGACCCCCTGCGCCATCTGTGATTTCCAGGTCAATTAAATCTTCACTCCGAGACCTCGTATTACCATCGTTTTGGCATACAAGCGCAAACAACACTTTTTTTGCCTTTATCCCGTTCAAATGCGAGTTTATAGATTACCAGAGTGTTCTAAATTGTCGTGAAATTGTCCTGACCCTTTCCTTTCTCAAATCAGAGCCTTCAATAATTGTATATTGATCGAAATATGAGAGCTCGACGCCATTTTGGTTCTGATCTGGGCTAAGTTAAAGAATTTTTTCCGAAAATCCAAGTTTTGAATGTGTCGGGGCAATTCTTAGATGATCAGGAGTGATGTGTCAAAGTTTCGGACAGTTTGGTGAAATACCCTTAAATGAAAGTGTTGCATTCGAATCGATTGATTTGAAGGGGGTTTCACTTCACCTTATATTCATTAAACATATAACGAACTACTCTATACGCAATGCCATGGCACCAATAAACCGGTATCAGTTCCCCCTAATTCAATAAAGACCAGAAATATTGAATCCATGAAAATGCCACTTTCACATCCCCTTAAATCCATTAAACATATAACGAACTACTCTATATGCAATGCCGTGGCACCAATAAATCGGTTTCATTTCGCCTTAATTTAATAAAAACCAAAAATACTGAACCCATGAAAATGTTATCTATCCCGTTTTACGAAGAATGTCGATAACAACGGAACGCTTGGTCTAAGGATCATGAAATTACCGTTAGACTCCCATTGCGCTATCGGAAAGTGCGGTTGGGAAAGTTCGCTTTCACTGTCTCGATACGTCTTTCCAAATTAAAAGATAAAATTTATAACGTTTGTCACATTTGATCTCGGTCCCCGTACGGCTGCATGGCTGGTGGCTCACTGTGTGCGAAGATGGCGTTGCGGATACGCTTTACAAATAAGGGATTGCTGCCCTCATCGTGTGGACCGAAAGAGGGAATCCCGTCCGTTCACGGCTTGTGTGGTTTGTCGCTCGGTGACTCGCGGCAACCAAGGACTACACCGGTATGCTTTGAAAATAAAGGGTAGCCGTCCACTGATGTGGAGCGAGCGAGGGAATCTCGTCCAAAGTTTGACGCTCAAGAACCACACAATCGATACGTTTTGGAAATAAAGGATTGCCGTCCACATGATGTGGACCGAGCGAGGGAATCCCGTCCAAAGTTTGACGCTCAAGAACTACACACTTGATATGTTTTGGAAATAAAGGGTTGCTGTCCACATGATGTGGACCGAGCGAGGAAATCCCGTCCAAAGTTTGACGCTCAAGGACTACACAACCGATACGTTTTGGAAATAAAGGATTGCCGTCCACATGATGTGGACCGAGCGAGGAAATCCCGTCCAAAGTTTGACGCTCAAGAATTATACAACCGATACGTTTTGAAAATAAAGGATTGCCGTCCACATGATGTGGACCGAGCGAGGGAATCCCGTCCAAAGTTTGACGCTCAAGAACTACACAATCGATACGTTTTGAAAATAAAGGATTGCCGTCCACATGATGTGGACCGAGCGAGGAAATCCCGTCCAAAGTTTGACGCTCAAGAACTACACAACCGATACGTTTTGAAAATAAAGGATTGCCGTCCACATGATGTGGACCGAGCGAGGAAATCCCGTCCAAAGTTTGACGCTCAAGAATTATACAACCGATACGTTTTGAAAATAAAGGATTGCCGTCCACATGATGTGGACCGAGCGAGGGAATCCCGTCCAAAGTTTGACGCTCAAGAACTACACAATCGATACGTTTTGAAAATAATGGATTGCCGTCCACATGATGTGGACCGAGCGAGGAAATCCCGTCCAAAGTTTGACGCTCAAGAATTATACAACCGATACGTTTTGAAAATAAAGGGTTGCCGTCCATATGATGTGGACCGAGCGAGGGAATCCCGTTCAAAGTTTGACGCTCAAGAACTACACAATCGATACGTTTTGAAAATAATGGATTGCCGTCCACATGATGTGGACCGAGCGAGGAAATCCCGTCCAAAGTTTGACGCTCAAGATCTACACAACCGATACGCTTTGAAAATAAAGGGTTGCGGACCACATGATGTGGAGCGAGGGAGGAAATCCCGTCCAAAGTTTGACGCTCAAGAACTACACAACCGATACGTTTTGAAAATAAGGGGTTGCCGTCCACATGATGTGGACCGAGCGAGGAAATCCCGTTCATATTCTGTCGCTCAAGAACTACACAACCGATACTCTTTGAAAATAAAGGGTTGCCGTTCACATGGCAGTGGGAACTGAACGGGGTGATCCCATCCTTGTTCGTCTATACCACGAGTACGTCTCCATACCTGAGAGCTCGTGGCACTCAAGAACAACACCATAGATACGCTTTGAAAATAAGGGGTTGCCGTCCACATGATGTGGAGCGAGGGAGGAAATCCCGTCCAAAGTTTGACGCCCAAGAACTACACAACCGATACTCTTTGAAAATAAATGGTTGCCGTTCACATGGCAGTGGGAACTGAACGAGATGATCCCATCCTTATGCGTCTACAACACGAGTACGTCACCATGTCTGGGGGGCTCGTGGCTCTCAAGAACTACACCATCGATACGCTTTGAAAATAAAGGGTTGCCGTCCCCATTACGTAGACCGAGCGAGGAAATCCCGTCCAAAGTTTGACGCCCAAGAACTACACAACCGATGAGCTTTACAAGTAAAGGGTTGCCGTCCACATGATGTGTACCGAGCGAGGAAGTCCCGTCCACGGTTTAACGCCAGGTAATTAGCAACGCCCAAGAACTACACCACCAATACGCTTTGAAAATAAAGGTTTGGTGTCCACGCGGCGTAGACCGAACGAGGAGATGCTATCCCCTCGACAGCTGTCCGACGAGTGTGGCTTGATGTCCGATGGCTCGTGGCGCGTGAGGAGCGAAGCGTCGATGTGCGATGTAAACAAAGGATTGCCGTCCACATGGGGTGGACCGAACGAGGAGACCCCATCCGCTCGGCGGCTACCCGACGAGTGCGGTCTGATTCCTGGCGGCTCGCGAGGACTGCCCCGTCGACCCGCTTTGTAAACAAAGGGTCGCCGCCCACATGGAAGGAGCCCCGCTCGGAGGTCCCGTCCGCGCGACGGCCGCGCGGCTAGTGCGGCTCGATGCCCGTCGACGGGCGGCGCGCGCAGCCGGGGCGGCCGGGCTCGTCCACCCGGGCGCCCCGGTGCCCCGGCCGGGCCGGCCGGGTCGCGCGGTGCTCGGCTCGCCTGCGCGGGGCCGCCCCCTCCCGGCCGCCGCCGCCGCCCGGCCGTCCGGACGAGCCGGAGCTCCCGGAGTCGCCCGCGACCAGTGGAGGAGGCCGCTCGCCCGCGCGCTCTCCCTCTCCCGGCCGACGCCGCGCGCCGCGACGCTGCCCGAGCTGCGAGCCGGACCTGCCCCGAGGACGCTCCGGCCATGGAGGCGCTTCCGGAGAACCCGGGGGACTGACCTCCGGCCGATCGAGCTCGTCGACCCCTGGACATGTAAGCTCTCTTTCTCTTCTCCCCCGACCGGTCGCGGATCGACGACCCTTTCCGGGGGTTCGGGGCCCTGCACCCCGGAAGCTTCGATCGATTCGGCCCGGTCGACGACTCCGAGGTCCTGACCTTCCTCGAGCGCCAGTGCGCCGGCCCCGAGTCGCGCGCGGTTCGCATCCCCGTCTCTGCATCGAGGACCTCCAGGAGGCCGGAGGTGGCCGTGGACCCGGGATCAAGGAACTCGGTAGAGCTTCGAACCAAATACATTTGAACGAGAAACTCGTAGTGTCGAATGATGAGCGAAGCTTGAGTCCCAGCGAGGCGCTACCGATCAAGGGACTCGATAGAGCTTCCAGCCAAATACATTTGAGCGAAAAATCCGTAGTGTCAACTGATGAGCGAAACTTGAATCCTAACGTGGCGCTACCGATCAAAAGACTCGCTAGAGCTTCGAGACAAATGCATTTGAACGAGAAACTCGTAGTGTCGAATGATGAGCGAAGCTTGAGTCCCAGCGAGACGCTACCGATCAAGAGATTCGATAGAGCTTCCAGCCAAATACATTTGAGCAAAGACTCGTAGCGTCGAATAATGAGCGAAACTTGAGTCCCAGCGAGACGCTACCGATGAAGAGATTCGATAGAGCTTGCAGCCAAATACATTTGAGCATAAACTCGTGGTATCAATTGATGAGCGATGCGCTACCGATCAAAGACTCGATAGAGCTTCCATCCAAATACATTTGCGCGAAAAACTCGTAGCGTCAAATAATGAGCGAAACTTGAGTCCCAGCGATGCGCTACCTATCAAGGGACTCGGTAGAGCTTGCAGCCAAATACATTTGAGCATAAACTCGTAGTATCAATTGATGAGCGATGCGCTATCGATCAAAAGACTCGATAGAGCCTCCAGCCAAATACATTTGCCAAAGAAACTCGTACTGTCGGATGAGGTGCAAAACTTGAGCCTCAGCGAGTCGCTATATGGGATATACGGTCTCCGAACACAGGTCCCTCTGCGAAGGCTGCCCTCTGAGAGAGGGCGAGAGAGGGAAAGAGACTCCTTCTTTCTCTGGCTCGCCCTCTCTCTGATTTTGCGTAAAACAGCTGCGCAGCAGGCGAGGGGCCGTCTGACAACAAAACCGAGGGAGAGGAAGGATAACCCTCATGGTTTTTTCTCTCTTAATTTGGTCTTTGCGAGAATGCGCTGGGTTTGGGGGGTCCGTGGACCCTACATCCTTAGGGATGGCTCCGATGGACGACCTGGAGGTTTGGACCCCCTTGACGACCTCGACGCGCCGTCTGCAGGGGACCTGCGCGAGGTCTCCGTTGCGGAAGGTCGCGGTCGAGGTCTCCGCTCGCTGTTAGGTCTGCCGTTCCTGCGGAATACGTTCCTCATCGGTGGCTCTTTAAAAAATCATCGCCTCCCCCGCATCGGACCGACTGCTTCTACTGCGGGAAAATATGCCGAGCCTCCTCCGGTCGGATCGATATCGCTGTTTTCCGAGATGACTTAACCTCCAAATTACATCCTCACCGATCTGCAAAAGTGGCCACTCCGTCGAGAACATATAGACGCGCTCTTCGCGCTAAGTCAACATTGGTGACTTCGAAAAAACATTGGAAACAGTGAGAAAAAAAAGGAGTTAAGAAGTTGCGCGGATAGGGATGAGTATTTTCGTTCTGCAAACGTAAGGATGAATTCCACTATTAATATCAAGTTTATAAACAATTAAGTCAACATTAGTGACCCCGAAAAAAAAAAAGTATTTGAAGAGTTGCACGGAGAAGGATGAGTGTCTTCATTCTGCAAACGTAAGGACGAATTCCACTATTAATATTAAGTTTATAAACAATTAAATCAACATTGGAGACTTTGAAAAGGAAAAGTTATTAAAAAATTGCACGAAAAGGGATGAATATCATTATTCCGCAGATGAAAGACGAACTCCACTATTAATATCAAGTTTATAAACAATTAAATTAACATTAGTGACTTCGAAAAGAAGAGTACTTACAAAGTTGCACGGAAAGGGACTAATATCTTCATTCCGCAGATGTAAGGACGAATTCCACTATTAATATCAAGTTTATAAAAAATTAAATCAACATTGGAGAATTGAAAAAAAAAGTATTTAAAAAATTGCGCAGAAAGAGATGAATATCTTCATTCCGCAGACATAAGGACGAATTCCGCTTTTAATAGCTATACCCTAGTAGTATAGAATAATTTCTAAATATTTGTTTGCAACCTTTGCTAAATATCTCAAGCGATAGATTTTTTAAGATTTCTTGTAGATTTCATTCGAAGATATCTGAAATATTTGTTGAAAACCTCAATGACATATTTAGTTTCAATAATTTATAAACATATCGACATTATATATAGTTCCGTTAACCGTTCATTTTTTCGTAAAAATCATTTTGCGTAATTATTGACGATTGTTTAACTTATTATGCTTGACCATCTTGCATGTCTTAACATCAGTTAGAGATGGAGGAGTATCTTATATACAAACGAGCGATCCGTGTCATTTGCGAGAAAGCGTCGCCATCTGTCGGTGGCGTCGAAACTAACGAACAAAGTTTTTAGTAACGTTCAATACAAATTGGAAATTGATTTAACCAAACCGCCTTGGTAAACGGTTATACTCGTAATATCGTTATTAACCGTTGTGAATAGTTCCATTAATCGTTAATTCTTTTCGTAAAAATCATTTTGCGTAATTATTGACGATTATTAAATTTATTACGCTTGACATTCTCGCATGTCTTAACGTCAGTTAGAGATGGAAGAGTGTCTTATATACAAACGAGCTATCCGTATCATTTGTGAGAAAGCGTCGCCATCTATCGGTGGCGTCGAAACTAACGAACAAAGTTTTTAGTAACGTTCGATACAAATTGGAAGTTGATTTAACCAAACGGCCGTGATAAACGGTTATACTGGTAATATCGTTGCAGTTACTAAAACTAGAGTAAATAACATCTTGCAACGAGATTTGAAATTTTTAAAAGCTAACCTAACTGTTCCAAAGAGGTAAACACTTTACTATAAATATTGTTACCATTACTACAAAAGCGAGATATCTCGTCAAAATCGTTAATCGGCCAGTATCGGGTCGCGAGATATCTCGTCAAAAGCATTGATCGGCCAGTATCGGGTCGCGAGATATCTCGTCAAAAGCGTTAATGGCCAGTATCGGGTCGCGAGATATCTCGTCTAAAGCGTTGATCGGCCAGTTCCGGGTCGCGAGATATCTCGTCCAAGGTAACGAAAGGGTTAAGGGGGGAGGTTAAGGGGGTCCTGGATCAGAGAGTCGCCAGTGTGCCACTGTCCCCAGGGTGAGGGGGCATGTTGACGTGCCGAGGGTTGCTGATCGCAGCCGCGATCGCGGCCACGGCCCCCGCTAGTCTGCCCGGCCCCCCCGGGAGCCCGGCCCCCCCCGCGGCGCCGGGGGCCTGCCGCCTCTCGGAGTACCCCTGCACCAACGGGCGCTGCGTCGCCCAGGACCGCTTCTGCGACGGAGAGGATGACTGCGCCGACAAGTCCGACGAGCCGGAGTACTGCTCTCGTAAGTATCCTGCAAACCCCGAGTTAGGGGAGGTTAGGTTCTGTTCCGTTACTATGATGGTGCTTTGCTGCACCTATTTTGGCCTGCAGTATCCGGTAGGAAACCTTCAGGTGAAGTGAAACCCCCTTCCAATCTGTCGATTCGAATACAACACTTTTTATCGTTACTTAACTGAAATAACATATGGAACGTTTCAGTTCGTATAATTCTCAACGTAGACTGTAAAAGACTTCAACATAAATATAAATGTCGGTAATGGTGCATCTAAAGGAAAAATTTAGTTGCAGCTAAACGTCACAGATGGCGACGTTGGTCCGTCAAAATATAAAGTCATGAATTTGCGGGGTTTCGACAGTTTTACATCGAAATTTGTATCGTTACTTAACTGAAATAACATACGGAACGCTTCAGTTCGTATAATTCTCAACGTAGACTGTAAAGGACTTCAGCATAAATATAAATGTCGGTAACGGTGCTTTTAAAGGAAAAATTTAGTTGCAGCTAAACGTCACAGATGGCGACGTTGGTCCGTCAAAATATAAAGTCATGAATTTGCGGGGTTTCGACAGTTTTACATCGAAATTTGTATCGTTACTTAACTGAAATAACATACGGAACGCGTAAAGGACTTCAGCATAAATATAAATGTCGGTAACGGTGCTTTTAAAGGAAAAATTTAGTTGCAGCTAAACGTCACAGATGGCGACGTTGGTCCATTAGAGTATCAAAAGCCAGGAATTCACGGGATTTTACAGTTTTATCTCTATCTCTTTATCATTACTTCACCGAAATGACATGTGGAACGCTTCATTTCGTATAATTCTCAACGTAGATTGTAAAAGATTTCAACCCGAATATAAATGTCGATAACGGGACGCGCCAACTTATGTTACCACTTGAGTATTCAAAACAGCGTTACCACCAAAAAGGGAATAGATGAATCTTGTTTTATCAATATGGATTAAATTTCTCAGCGCCTTTCATATCATCTTAAGGTGAAGTGAAACCCCCTTCAAATCAGTCGATTCGAATACAACACCTTTTTTTTAAGGGTATTAGACCAAACTGTCCGAAACTTTGACACGCCACTCCTGATCATCTAAGAAGTGTCCTGGCACATTCAAAATTTGGATTTTTGGAAAAAATTTGTTAACTCAGCCCAGACCAGAACCAAAATGCCGTCGAGCTCTCATATTTCGATCAATATATAATTATCGAAGGCTCTGATATGAGAATCGAAAGGGTCAGGACAATTTTACGACAATGTAGAACACTCTGGTAATCGATAAACTCGCATTTGAACGGAATAAAGGCAAAAAAAGTGTTGTATGCGCTTCTATGCTAAAACGATGGGAATACGAGGTCTCGGAGTGAAAATTTAATTGATCTGGAAATCACAGATGGCGCAGGGAGTTCCTCTGCAATCAATTAGGGCCCCAGAAACTTAAATCCAGAGGATTTCTGGAGTTTTATTTCGATTTCTTGATATTTATTGTACGAAAACAACAGGTGGAGTATGCCATTTGGTACAATATCCAATATAATTCGACCCAGCAGTCAATACAAAACCGAACGTCGGCAACGTAGGTATTTCTAAAAATCCTCTTTACCGACGTCGATCAAGTTCCTTGACGTGTTTCATTTCGCCTTAAGGGGATGTGGAAGTGGCATCCGATAGGTTAGTTTCTCGAAGTGAATATTTAGTTGACCTGGAAATCACAGATGGCGCTAAGTTAAAAAATTGTTTCCAAAAATCCAAATTTTGAATGTGCCAGGACAATTGTGCCCATAATTATGAAAGTGGTCTAAGTCAAAATTAAAAAAAAATGAGTTTATCAGTTATTTCACGCCATATTATTTCAAACGAAATTAATTCAATGTAATTTCGAAACAAAAAATATATGACTTAGACCACTTTCATAATTATGGGCATAATTCTTAGATGATCACTAGTTATGTGACAAAGTTTCGGACAGTTTGGTCTAATACCCTTAGAAAAAAGTGTTGTATTCGAATCGACTGATTTGAAGGGGGTTTCTCGTCACCTTAATGCTCCTTTAATTCTTTCCTCTATCCCTAGCCTGCAACCGGACACTTTACGGCGACGTGGGCCGCACCTACGAGGTGGAGGTACGGCGACCGCGGGAGCACCAGCTACCCTTCCTCTGCCACCTGAACTTCACCGCTGCCGGCGGCGATTTGGGCGACCTGGTCCAGGTAGGTTCCCACTGAACACCAAACCTAACACTTACGTAAATTAAAACTAACAAATAACATAACGTTTGTTACAATGTAATAACCTAACAGTTACGTAAAACAGAGCTTACTAGTTACATGACATTTGTTACAATGCAGTAACGTAACGGTTATGTATCATGGAGCTAACAGGTTACATAACGTTTGTTACTATCATATCTATATAAATGTAGCGTAACTTTGTTACTCTTATCTTACATTATATTACCGTCCTGATATTACTGACAAGGAAGGTACCTGAGGTGTCCCCCTCCGATTTTGTTCATTTTTAAATATGTTATAGAGGACTAAAATCTAAAGGACCCGTGTTTTTTTTTATCGGCGGATAAACACTTTTAGGGGGTGAAATCAGGCTTCAATGTTGGCCGTGCAAGGGGGTGAGTTGGCTGTTTCATATAGAAGCACTCGACCGATTTTCATGAAACAACCGTCAAAATGTAGGGAATGA